GCCAGACTTTTCTTATTGCTAATTTAGGTTTGAGCAGCACATCCTTCTTGATCAACAAACTCCACACGGATGTTAAACTCATTTAACTGTGGAAAGTGACACCTTCCAGTTAATGATCAATTTAAGCCTTGGAGATTCTTGGCTTGTACCTAAAGCAATATAAACATTTTTTCTTTCACTTGAGGGGATTAGTTTGAGTTACATGGTTTTAAACTTTGATATAACAGGATCATCCTACAAGACATTGGCACAATGCTGAATTTGATTCAAATTCATCATTGAAAGTTCAAAATCAGTCAGTTCTCCTAAAAATGATGAAGTGGAATAAAAAAAGAAATCTCACACTAAACCCCATCTATTATTTTCTACTTATGCTGCATTAATGAAACATGTATTTTTTTAGACTTTAGAGGGAAGCAAAATCTTTAAAACCTAAAGCTTGTTTGCATTTTTCAATAAAATGTGCAAACAGACACTGCAGAGACCTACCTTTAGACCTGATTTATAGCACTTTTTTCTTAATTGTCAAACATTTTTTTAATTTCCAGTTGGTGCTGTGGTGAGATCATGTTCTTTCCAGAAGCTACCAGTCTCTCCTGGTGCCACAGCTGCCAACCCCCCTCCAGCTTCCCACCACCCACTCTTGAAGCCCCCCTCCAAGCCCATCAAGCATTTGCTGGTGAGTTCTCAGCTGTCTGCTCCCTAAATAGACCTTATCAGGAGCAAACCAACTTTAAGGGGTCACACAAACTTAAGTTGCTGTTTCAAAAAAGTTTTTCCTCACTGAGCCATCAGTCAAACGTTGGTTTCAATAGAAAATTTAGCACACTTTAATGGGTTGTCATTTACACTGACCTGAATACAGAGCTATTTTCCATGAAGCTTTGTATGTTTTGGAAAGCATCCCTTTGTGTTTTGCGTGATCCACCTTAGCTCTGCCCCACCTCACTAAGATGCAATATAAATATAAACTGCAGCATTAGTGGTGTTTAGGTTTGAAACGGTAAGAGAAAGCTGATAAAACTACTCAAGACCACGGGTTTAGATCATCTACGTTGGATAAAAAAAAAAAAAAAAAAACCTAAACGGAGGAAAAGTTAGACCAAGAAGAACAAGCTGAAGGTATAGTAGCATCTACAAAGACTTTGGTTCTTTTTTGACTTGCATTGAAGTGAATGGAAGGTACTCAGGGTAGTGAGAGTATTACAGAATCAGGACTATGTCTTTCATTTAGAAATGACAGAGAATCACGAGGCTCACACTGGTGGGTTAAATGATGCCCAAATAAGGTTTGAAGGGAGGCCATTTAAAGTTGGAGATGGTATTTGTGGGGCTATCTCACACGTGGGGCTATTTCATACATGAGACAGCCTTACGCATGGGGAGAACATTGGAGAACATTGGTTTCCCCATGCGTGGGGCTGTCTCCCTGGTTTTCAAGGTCTCTGTCCTGACCTTAAAACCAGGTCAGGACAGAGCAGTGCAACCGTGAGAAGAATACGTCACAGCATTTATTGAATGTTGTCATAATAGGAGATGGTAATTATTAAATCTTCAGCTGCATATGAGGTATAAGGGATGGTACTGAATGAGTCTTGGATAAATGTTGCACTGCTTTATTTACTTCTTGATATTTTCTATGATTTTTAGTAAAATATGTGTTTAGCTCCTTTAAGGTGTTTGTTCTCATCTAGAAGTTGTATGGGTAGTGTAGCTCTGTTGATGGTGAAAATTTGCCATTGCGTTGAAATACATTTTATAGGCAGAACAGGTGTTAACATTCTAAGCACTGATCTGACGCAAACATGACAAAACTTTTATCATTTGTTTTCTTATCAATGAATTCTGATTTCTGTCAGATGGGTGATCCAATCCAATTAAAAGATGAAGGAAACAAACACTTTCAGGCTGGTGATATCGACAAGGCCATCGAGTGCTACACCAACGCCCTGAAGGAGTGCACAGACAAAAAGATGCAGGCTGTGATTTACAGGAACAGATGTGCATGCTACCTGAAAAAGGTAAAGCAATTGGAGAAAACACACACAAATATTTCAACTTAAATGAAAATGTTGCCATATTATCTTCCTTTCATTCTACTTGTTGCAGGAAAGCTATTCAAATGCAGTTTCTGATGCATCTAAAGGTAAAGTAATAAATGAGAAAGTTTAAGCAGCCAAAATGTGACATTTAGCATAACAACTCAGTGCAAACCACTAGTTGACCTTTACTTTCTGCCATACTGGTTCACAGCAATTGATGAGGATGCGTCAGATATTAAAGCCTTGTATCGCCGCTGTCAAGCTCTGGAGAAGCTGGGAAAACTGGACATGGCTTTCAAAGATGTGCAGCGATGCGCCACCCTGGAGCCAAAGAACAAGACCTTCCTAGAGACTCTCCGCAGACTGGGAGCAGAAATCCAGGCCAAGGTGTATAACTGTTATGGACACAATAATAATAATAATAATAATAAAAGACAGCAAATGCCGGCAAAAAAAAACATGTGCCCTAAAGTATTTCTACTCTTATAACTCTTTTGAATTGTTAAAAGATATTTGCCCTGCTTTACAGTAGGACAAAGGCACTGAGCATATAGGCAGAGATCGGGTGGTTTAGATCAAAACACATTCACAAATTAGAATGGCCTAGTCAAAGGTCAGACCTAAATCCAACTAAGAAGCTGTGGTATGATTAAAAAAAAAACAGTTTTTCGCAGAAGCTTTCCATCCAAACCCACTGAGCTTGAACTAAGTAACGTCACGACCACAAAACACCAGTGTCACAAGTCTGTGGTTGAAATGTGTGAAAGGGTGTGAATGCTTTTGCAAGACACTTTTACATGTATATGCCACATGCAGATCTCCTTCAATTCAAAAGTTACACCAAGATTTATTTTGTTTCTTCAGCTCAAGACAACATTTTCCACAGATTCGAGAGTACAGAACATGTTTGATATTCTTCTTGATGAGGATATGGACAAAGAAAAGAAGGAAAAGGTCGGTTCAGTGGTTTGTAGTTAAAGGAACTTAAAAAGTCCGGTGTGGGTAGTTTTAACTTCTGGAAATTCATTGGGATTTTTGTATGACCTATTGTTCCTCAAAACCTAGGCGGCCAACAACTTGATTGTGCTGTCGAGAGAAGATGCTGGAGCAGAGAGAATCTTCCAGAACAACGGGGTGGCTCTGCTGCTCAACATGGTTGAGACTGGGAAACCAGAAATGATCCTGGCTGCAGTCCGAACTCTGTCGGGAATGTGCACTGGGCACAAAGCTCGGGTTAGTGAAGCTAAAGGACGAAACGGGAAGAAAAACACAAAATTACAATAGAGCCCGGAGCAACTAAAGTTCCACATCTCTCTCCACTTAACAGGCCATGGCCATTGTCAACATGATGGGTATTGATAAGATCTGCAGCATTATGGCACTGGACAACGAAGAAATTGCACTGGCAGCATGCAACCTCTTCCAATGCATCAATGACTCTCTCACTGGTGGAGACACAAGGGATTATGGGAAGGAAGCATCTTTAGTTTTGGGTAAGAGAAAAACTTGCAACATTTAAATCAAATATTCAGTTTTTGATCTACAGCTAAAATATATGAAAACGAATGAAGACCATCTAGTTGTCCATATTTATTCTATATATACATATAAAATTATCTTTACTTACAGATGCATCTAAAGATTTGAAAACCATTCTCCTTGCCCTCCTGGAGATGATATCCAATAAGAAGGTGTCGGGTCATGGCAGAGACCAGGCACTGAACCTCCTCACCAAAAACGTCCCTTCTAAAGACAAGAAAGGGAGAGACCACTCCAGGACCCTTTTCACCATTGATCACGGTGAGCCAGGCCTCTCCATACGAGATCCTCTGAATTTCTGGCTGAAGCTCAGTTCTCTTAACAAGATGCATGTCTTTATTTGCCAGGTCTGAAGAAGATCCTGAAGGTCTGCGGTCAGGTTCCCGAGCTGCCGGATCAGCTCCCTCTGACAGAGAACACACAGCTGATCGCCAGCGTGCTTCTCAACAAACTCTACGAAGACCTGAAGTGTGACCCAGAGAGAGCCAACTTCAAGGAGATCTGCGATCAATACATCAAGTACGTGTGAAGATGTGGGCCAAATTTTGGACCTCTGGGTAAAAATGTGTGAAAAGCCTTTAAATACACCAACATATCATAAAACAAGTTGCAACTTTTACAGAAAGTCTCTTGTGATCCCCTTTAATCAATAGGACATCACTTTGTCTTCTTCTATGATACTTTATACACAGAGCATGCAGATGGGGGATCTGTGACCATTTATCTCTCCACCCTCTCTTTTACTTTCTTTTTCACTCACTACAGCTCCACCTTTCTCTCATATGACCAAAACCATGGCTCTAGTTAATGTCATGGTAGAGTTTAGTGAACTCCACAGGTTTATGCATGTTATGACAGGATACTAAATTATTTTTTCTAGCTTCTAGATCAGGTGACCTCAAGATCTCCCTTGTTGACGCAGTTGAAGGCATTTTTTTAAAACCGTCCCTAACATGCTACCGCTCTGCAAAGAGGGTTCTTTTCCTTCATACCCTTATATATTCTTACCCCAAGAAAACAGAGCAATTGGTTGACTACCAATCAAAAGGTTCTAGAAATTCATATTTAAGACCAACAAAAAAATGAAAGTTATAGATTAACATATTGATTGAAGCACCAGTGATTCTGGTAATATCAGATTGTATCATAAGAATTTTTACAGTTGAATAAATTTATTAAACTTAAAAATTACATTTTTCTAAATGGTTAAGAGTGAGGTAAGCCTGTTGCAATAAAATTGTACTCCAACACTTCTAACACATCTTTACCAGAGGTACCTACCAACAATCTTAAGTTAGAAGGATCCTCATTAAGAAACAGGTCAATTTGCTATTGCGCGCCATTTCTCACCTTCTCCACTTCTTTGCTGCAGATCTAAAATTGATCCCAACAACATGGATAAGACTCTCCATGCCATCAACACCATGTCAGGGCTGCTGCAGGGTCCCTTTGAGGTCGGCAACTCTCTGGTGGGACAGCAGGGCGTCATGGAGATGATGGTGGCTCTGTGCAGCTCAGAGCGGGACGTGGACCAGATGGTCGCCGTCGAGGCGCTGATCCACGCCTCCACGAAGATGAGCCGCGCCAGCTTCTTCATCACCAACGGCGTGTCGCTGCTGAAGGACATCTACAAGAAGACGAAGAATGAGAAGATTAAAATTCGAGCTCTGGTGGTGAGTGAACCAGAACCAGAGCAGAGTCTAGCTTTCACAGTGCTTTGCTGTGGGATTTATTTAGTCACATTTCTGCCTAAGTTGTGGTTTGTGGTGGTGAGAGAGAACGCTGATGACCCAGGTTGTGAGGAAGATGATTAATGTAATGATGAATATGGCTCAAAAACAGTCCAGATCAGGCAGCACGGCAGAGACAATAGCACACAGCTAAAAACCGGTAGCAACTGACAAAAGACGGAACACGGAGCAAAGTAGCCTCAGGACTTTCCAGTTCAACTGAGAACTACTGACTAAGACAACAACTGGCAAGGATCTGACAAAGGACAGAGACAACAGGTGGGCTTAAATACACAGGGAGTAATTAGGGGAACTAGACACACCTGGGAAACAATCAGGGAGCAGACAGGAAAACACAGAGCCTCACAGGGAACAGGATCACAATAAACACAGGAAAACCCCCCAAATAAACAGAAAACTCAAATCCTAACAATTTCAACCATTAATGTCAGTGCATTGGCATTTTAAAAATCGGAAAGTGTTAGAAAGTACTGAAAACATTTGACACATCTGCCCTTTCTGAAAGAGAAAAAAGAAGAAAACCATGAGAAGTTTTGCTTGAGATTAAATCATATAGGGAACACAGCAAACACATGGGAGAAGGCAGTGTGGTCAGAGGTAATCAAAATTGAACATTTAAGCCTATGGGAAACTTTATATGTGATAGAAAACTAACAATGCACATAAGAATGAACCCAGCATTGACAGAGTGACACAAATCAAAGACACCAGATTTAAATATAATTGAGAATCTGAATCCAGACATGCAAATGATCTGAAGTTTTCTCCATCCAATCTGACTGAGCGTGACATGATTTGTCACATGACATGATTTTCCTTCCACTTCACAAATATGCATTACTTCCTGTTGGTTATGCAAAGTACCATATACTTTGTGTTGTCATTTGACTAAACTGGGTAAAGATTCAATAGGTGTACATACTTTTGCAGGATATAGTTTTTTGTTTGTTTGTTTTTTTGCAGGAAAAAGTAATTCCAGCTACAATTTTAAAGTGATGGAGCAAAACACATCATCTCATCTCATTTTGTTTTGTTTTTTTTTTGGGGGGGGGGGGTTTTTTGTCTTGTAAGCTTTGAATCTAAAAATGTCCATCTATCCTGCAGGGTCTCTGTAAACTGGGTTCAGCTGGAGGTGACGATTACGGCTTAAGGCAGTTTGCTGAGGGTTCCACAGAGAAGCTGGCCAAGCAGTGCAGAAAGTCAGTACTCAACACTTGGATTTAATACAATATTAAGCATAAAATAGGTCTGTAAACAGTTGAAATGCAACTACTGCAAGTATTATTGTCTCATATCTCATTCTTTGTTTTGCTAGGTGGCTTTGTAATCCCCAGATTGATTCCAAAACAAGGAAGTGGGCTATTGAGGGTCTTGCCTATCTGACTAATGATGCTGACGTTAAAGATGACTTTGTGGAAGATGAGCTTGCAATGAAAGCCATGTTTGAGCTGGCAAAGGTACAGATGTTAGATCATATTGTTGTATATTGTGCAACCTCTTCATAACCCCCAATGAGTCATAATGTTCCAGTTGGGGGAAGGAGCATACATCCTGTATGTATTGGTAATAAATGAGTTTACATGTTTTGCACATGATAGTTGAAAATACATTGTTTCCTACCAAAAGAAAGGGTTACGAAATGCATCTGATATGAGTCCTTCCTGATTATAATGTATGTGCACTCCCTATAAACTGTGCAATAATTGCATTAATTACCTCAGAATGTTCCACAAATTATGAAGTAAATAGTTTGAAACTTTAATTTGAAGCAGCTAGTCTAGCTGCAAGCAAAATATATTGGCAGGATAATTAATTTTCTCTGCTTTTTCCCTCTGATTTTAGTCTAGGGATAAGACAATCTTGTATGCAGTTGCTTGCACTTTGGTAAACTGCACCAACAGCTACGATAAGAAGGAAATCATTCCTGAGCTGGTTCAGCTGGCCAAGTTCTCTAAGCAGCATGTCCCTGAGCAACACCCCAAAGTAAGAGAAAACCAGTCTGAGTTTTCCTGCAAACGACTTTCTAATAAGTCGTTTGCAGGAAAATGACTCAATTTGCAGGAAATAAGTATGCATGCTGATATGTTTGCACAAACCTTGCAAACAGTTTTTGTCCTCTTTCCTCAGGACAAGAAAGACTTTATTGAGAAGAGAGTAAAAAGGCTGCTGAAGGCTGGAGTCATTTCAGCTCTTGCTGTCATGGTCAAAGCAGACAGCGCTATCTTGACTGATCAGACCAAAGAGATGTTGGCACGGTAGGAAATACATGTGGAATTCCTTTTACAAATTTGTTGATGTCTTCATATTGCACAAATAATACCCCCACCTCCACCCTCACCCAGCTAAACCTGCCTTTCCTGTTTCATCAGCCCTCTTCTCTTTGCTGTTTTGTAATTTGTGTTCATTTTTGACTCATTATTTTTGGCTACAGTGCTTACAGTGGTGCAGTACCTTGTTAAAGTATAAATGCTCCTTGAAAACTTTCCATAGTTTGTTATGTGAAAACCTCAATGTATGTTATTCTGACTTTATGTGGTAGAGCAACGTGTATCAGCTGAACACACAGTGTACACACCACACCATTCAGACTTTTATTTGCAAACATGTTTTAAACCATTTATCATTTATTATTTTCCTTCCACTTCCCAGTAGTACTGTGTGTTGCTTCATCTACCACATAAATTAGGAACTAAAGCTGGTGGCTGGTAAAATGTGCAAAAATTCAAGTGATGTGATTAAGGCAATCCACCTCCTTGAACTTGTGATCTTAATTTTTAAACAAATCTGCAGGGTTTTCTTGGCACTGACAGAGGATTCCAAAGACCGTGGCGCGATAGTGGCCCATGGAGGGGGAAAGGTGAGTCATGCAAAAATAAGAGGAACACCCCAATTTCATGGAAAATGTTTCCAAACTGAAACTGTGTTAGACAAACCCGTCTTTGTTTTGTTGTGGTTACCAAACCTACTGTGCCTCCCTCCTACTTTTCGTCGTTCTTGAATCATCATTTTAGTCTCTTGTGCCTTCAGGCTCTGATACCTCTTGCCCTTGAAGGAACAGAAAAGGGGAAGGTGAAAGCAAGCTTTGCACTCGCCAAGATAGCCGCTGTTTCCAACCCGGAGATTGCTTTCCCTGGAGAAAGGGTAAAACTCTAAACTTTAACTGTTTTCTTCATTCACTCTTCTCACATTTTACTTTGATCTTTATATTTTCCAGTTCATTTGACAAGAGATGTTAGATTATTGGCCTATATTAGACTATTTTCTTTTTCTTCATCTTGTTGAGTTTCACCTGCACAGTAGAAACTGTTCTCTGCTGTTAAAACTCTTAATTTTTTTTTTACCAGGTATATGAGGTGATACGACCTCTAGTCAGCCTGCTGCATACAGACAAAGAGGGGGCAGAGAACTATGAGGCTCTCCGAGGGCTCACCAACATGGCTGGTTTCAGTGAAAAGCTAAGGTAGCATTTTTAATGTCTCATGATGCTACGATTGTGTTACAGGAAAAAGTTAAGAGATCACTTCCCAAACGTGCGTCAAATGCATTGCTTAAATGTTTCCACTTGCTCCTCTTACAGGGTAAAAATGGTGAAGGAGAAAGCTTTGCCAGAGATCGAGAACCACATGTTTGAAGAGAATGAAAAGATCAGACTGGCGGCCGTTGAATGTATGTGCAATCTTGTAACATGCAAAGAGGTGAGACAGATAGGATAACACTGAGATTGTTTGTGCACAGATGATGCATGCCAAATGCAGATGAGCAAAAGTTGAAAATCGATCCTATGTGTTGTAGGTCCAAGCTCGTTACCTTGAGGATGGCAACGATAAGCTGAAGCTGCTGGTATTGCTCTGTGGAGAGGACGATGAAAAACTTCAGATAGCTGCAGCCGGAGGTCTGGCCATGCTCACTGCAGCTGAGAAAAAGCTTTGCACCAAAATGACTCGTGTGGTATGCACACTACTAGAACCTGTTTTCACTCCTATTTATTTACGAAGAGGGTCAGATAATGACTGTGTTCATTTTCTCCCTATCAGACAGTACAGTGGCTAGAGATCCTGCAGAGGTTATGTCTCCATACCAACCCTAGCGTCCAGCACCGAGGCCTGGTGATTGTGTACAACATGCTAAACTCTGACGACTTCGAGTTGGCCAAGAAACTGATCGAGAGTGAGATGCTGGAAATCCTCACTGTGATTGGAAAAGCAGAGGACAATCCCAAGAGGCAGGATCCCATTGACGTGGCACGCACATGTCTGGTCAAAGCCATGGATCTCGGTCTCGTCAAGCCCTTCACGAGCCCTTCCTAAGCAAAAGAAAATGGCTCACAACACCAAAGATTTTTTCCCCCCTAACTTATTTCCTTTGTTAAAAAGTAACTTTTTGCTTAAATGTTTTTTTTAATTGCTCAACAATCTGCCACTTAATATCTACATGTTTCCCTCAAATAAAAAACAATTGTTTTGTTTTTTTAAAATTAATTTTTAATTAGCAAAGAGTGAAAAAATGTTTTCTAGTGTGCAGCTTCTTTTCTTACACTTGTGTGTACTTGTGAAGTTGGTGAAATTTTTGTTTTTGCTGATTTATAGCTTTGCTTTATCTTTTTTTAAAACTGTTTGTGTAATAAGTTTCACATTTTATTGAATATATACCAAATAAACAGCATTGACAGAAATGTGATTTATTATTATTATTATTACTTCCCAAATGCTTGTGACAGATGATCATAAAAAGACAGCACCTCAATTAAGGTTATAGCTTATGATTCAACAATGTGAATAATAATAATAATAAATACTGGCAAAATTTGCTTGTATTGAAGAGTTCCAATGTGAAAATCACTGCAGACCAAAAAAATAACAAAGACCATCTTGAAGATTCCTTTTTGGACTAATATTGTGTGGACAGATGAGACAAAAGTGGAACTTTTTGGAAGTTATGTTTTCTGTTACACGCAGCAAAATAAGCACAGTTACATTTTTACTGTTTTCAGATATTTAGGTTTTTCTTGAACAAACTACTTTCTTAAAAATAACTTCCCCTGAGTTTAACAACATTGCATATTTTATGGCATAAATAGTCAGTTGTTAATATATATAATTAATAAATATAAAAATTATTTTGATTATAACTGCACATCTTAAAGGAAAAAAATATCACACCAAATTGGGCCTATGTAAAATAGAGATCCCCACAATCCCAATAAAATGATTTTGACACTTGTCACAGACTGTCATGAAGAGTGTGGTTGTTGGTGGTGAGGAGAGACGCTGAGACCCAGGTTATGGTGATGATGATGGTTTAATGAAGAGATAAGCTCAAAAACAGTCCAAGCCAGGCAGCACGGCGAGAGGCAAGCACCCAGCTAAATACCGGTAGCAACTGTCAAACGGACTAGACGGAGCAAACACAAACCACAATACATACGACGAGGATTCGACCCAGACAAAGACAACAGGTGGGGTTAAATACACAGGAAAGGTAATCAGGGAACGGGATACAGCTGGGAGCAATCAACAGGGAAGACAGACTCACAGGACTACACAGAAACTCAAAAATAAACACACAGAAACACGGAACATGACACAGACAGAGCGGCATGCTCTCCATTTTCCCTTTCCTGAGACAAGTGATTAATGAAAAATCCTTCTTTGCACAACAATCTCCACATGTTCCAGAGGAGTCCCCAGAACAGAGTCAGCCCTACTTTATGGATGGATGGATGAATGGAGATGGATGCTTACACAACAGGTTTCTCTTACTTCAAAAATTTCAAGGGCCCTCAAGTTGTCAAACTGCAACTACATGTACACTACAATTCTAAAACAACAACAAAAAAATCGACTTCACAACTCCTTCTCTTCGCTAATTTGGTCGGTTGCAATTAAGCTGCAGGAATCCAGCTCAATGGGACAAATACCGTATGAATAACCGAAGGGACATGAGAATCATGTGGAATTGCAGGAAGACAATGGGTAGGTGACTTAACAGATGGAGCTGAATCACTTAGGATTCACACCATGGTACAGCTTTCTTTAACAGGTCTCTGTCAGTTACATGATTTCATTTCACAGCACACGTTGTGCTGCATCCATGCTGGGCGGATTGAGGAACAGAGATTGAAGCGAAGCAAAACAAACAAGCAGATTCAACTAATGATATTTATTAATGAGTCTCAGGCCGACTGTGTTTAAACCCTTAAAGCTGCAGTATGCAACTTTTACAAACAATGTTTTTTATATATATATTTGCTAAAACTGTCTTGGCAGTACAATATAAGACAAATAGTGTGTGAGAAAATCGAGTTCCTCCGCCTTCTCCCTGGTCGTACAGTCATCTGCAGAACTACACTGCTTAGTCAGTCCTACATGTTTCAAAAATATCCTGCCTGAGACACTGCCACGTGAAAATTGTGGTTTTATGCTGAAACCACTGATTCATGAAACAGAATTGAGCAACAGCTACTACCTGCAGTTGTAGCTGATGTCTAAACACAAAACTTCAACTGGAGAATATACGTAGCTCTGATAAATTGAAGCCCGTGATGTGTCAGCAAAACATTTGCATACAGCGTAAGAGTTAATTATGTGAGTGATTTCCACAACTCTGAATGTCAGAGCAGCTATGTGAGGCAGGTTAAACCCACTGTTTCTCACTGGTTAGGTGCAGTAACACAATTATCTTTTGGATAATAAATAAATAAATAAATAAATAAATAAATAAATAAATAAATAAATAAATAAAAATCCATAATTAAAAAAAAATCTTAACAAAAATATGAGAGTCTATAAAGTATGTTAAAAACAGTTGTGGCTCATTGGTCCAGTAACTAAGCATTAATTACATATTTGTGAAATAGAAAGTGTTTTTTTTTCTCGCTACAGCTGACGCGTCTGGGAGGGGTTAGTACATACCCGCTCAACTGTGCGAAAGGATGAGAGAGAGTAGCCTGCACCACCTTTACTTTAACCGTGCACGGATCGAAAAGCCATCGCTGATCAAACCACGGAAAGTGAATGTCTAACGAAGATACAACTTGAAACTAACTTTACCAGCCGGATATAACCCCGTCTCGACTCAGTTCGCCGGTGGGGAAATGCACACTGACTGACGTACATACACGGACTTCACAGGTTGTATAGGCGGCTGCTATTCGGGTAGGACTTTAATTGTGGAATTTTTTTGATATATTTAGCTCGTTAATATTCGCGAAAGCAGATCGGAGTCGGACGATGGGATGATGATGTTGAATCACAGGGTGTGCTGTGGGTATCCCATAGAAAAGTCCTCTAGCTTGCCAGCTAGAACCGTTTTATGTTTTTTCTTTTTTATCTGTGTGGGTAAACGAAATAGATTCGAGTTATGCACATATCTCTCGTGTTGTGTGTTGCCACACTGATAAACTGTGGTAACAGTAACTTCAGGCGCCTCCATCAGTTGCTTGCCTCAGATCCTCTCCGTAGAACCGCACAAAATTGTAAAAACAACACTGCTTCACCATATATAGTAAAAAAGTAGCCGTCCAAGAATTGACTAAATATTTTGTAAAACAAAAAGCAGCTCAAGTACTAAGAGTTCTGATTTAATATCTGATTTAATATCTAAAAATTATATAATCTGACAAAAGAATAAAGTTATGTGCAATTCTGATATTTTAAATGTAAAAAAAATATAGAAATTAATGCACTTTTCCAAAAAATATTTTTTTTTATATAAAACTTATTAAATAAGTGCTTATGGCAGCTAATGTAAATACCCCGTTACTTACTTCCAGTTTCTTACTTCCAAAAGTCTTTTGTGCAATTTTACCTCTGAATTGCACAATTGTGGTGTAAGTGTTAGAAAGTAAGTCTAAAATTAAGAATGACGTGCAACCTTTGCGCCTACACTGTATGGATGATTTACCAATCTGTTGTGAAGAGAGATTTACAGTAAATTGCCATTAGTCAATATTTTAAAAACTTATAATGTTATAACTTATAATGTGTGGTACTGTTGCATATATGTTAAAACAGAACTCCTCCCCCAGGTGTAGTGGAGGAAAATATTTCTCAGAGATCTGTGGAGAGAGACAGAATCCGCTTATGCATTATGTCATCTTCAGCAGCGTTTGTAATGCAAGGTAAGCATCTGAGAATTTACCAGTTTTAAACTTCACTCATTGGTCACCAGCTGACAACCTTGATTTTGCTTCATATTTTTGTTTTTATAGTGATGATGGTCATATTTTCACTGACTGCTTTTCAACACACTCTGAGCCTTCCGGTCACCACAGGTCAGAAATGTCTTCTCTAACTCAGACTTGTCTCATGTAACAGCATCCACATGTCCACGTGAAATGTTTTCTTTGTGATTCTATAGTTGCCAAGGATTCACTGCAGCTCTTTTACTGCAAGTCTGCAGGATGTGCTGCGGATGTGGCTAAAGTGTTTTGTGGTGACACACTCCTTCAGCATGGCCTCCTTCCAGATTGCTCAGGACCTCCACATATCCAAACAGTGTGTCAGCATGATGGCCGTGCATATGTTGCCACCACAGCAGGGACTAAGTGTGAGTTTGAGGAGGAGAACAAGTACATTCCAACAGAGAAATGTACAGGTAATTATAATTTAAGGTTAATTAAAACAATTCATAGCTCCAGGTTGCAGTTGGGGACTACTTAGAACAAAAAATAGATTTGTAGGGCAAAAGTATTTATACTAATTATCCTAGTTGCATTTTGTCATGTAATACAGACTTCACTGTATTGTTTCAGCTTTATAGGATTTTTTTTCTTACTCTAATCAAACCAGTGTATTATAGTAAAGCACACTGGAAATGTCACATGTGAAAAAGAACAAAACATCTAAAATATATAAAACGTAATGTGCTTTTCTATTTAGAACCTACAGAGTCAGTACTTTGTTGAACTGATTTTACTCTAATTACAGTAACAAGTATTTTTGGTATGTCTCTACCAGATTTGCATATCGACAGACTGAATTTGTTGTCCGATCTTTGCAAAATGACTCAAACTCAGTAAGGTTGAGTCAGCTCGGTAAGGTTCCTCAACCTTACTGTTGAGGAACTGTAAGAGAAATCTTTAACCTTTCAATTTTCAAGACTTTCCACAGATTCTCATTCAAATTGTGGGTCTTGACTTTGACTGGGCCATTCCAACACCCAAATATGAAACCCAATTAGACTTTCAATGGATTGCTTTCAGCAATGGCTTTCTTTTTGGTTCTCTTTTGTAAAGAACAGATTTGTAGAGTGCATGACTGGTAGGGGAATCTGTCTTGTGAACAGATTCCCCTACTTAATCTGCTGCTCCTCCAGAGTTACCCTGGGGCTCTGGGCCGTATATCCACTCAATGCTCTCCTTGCCTGATCTTAGTTTAAGTAGAAGCAGTGTTTTGATAGTTGTGTCTTACTTTTTCCATGATTAGATAATGGATATAACATTTCCAGGAGAATGTTAGCAGATATTTTATTATATCTAACCCTGTTTTAAACCTCCCCACGATGCCCTAGAATCAAAATGTTTTTCCTAAACATTTTCTATTGATTCGCTGATGGCAAACTAAATGTTTACATACAGAGGTTGTTGTTCATTAAAGAATAGAGGTGACTAAGATTTATTACATTTTGATGTACTGTGTCTGGTTTTGTTATTCGAATAACACTTTCTGGTATTTTGTTTTTTGTCTACAAGACGATGACCCCGTTTGCCTTTTGATTTCTGGTAAGTGTCGATTGAGAATTTTTTTTTTTTTCAATTTTGCTGTTTTCTCTGAACTTTAGTGTTTTTATCCAACATTCCAGCTATGTCCCCATCACCAAACTCTTCAAACAATGGGAAGAAAGCAGGGTGTGTAAATCCAGGCGCCATTGCCTTAGCAGCCATCTGTAAGTTTGAATCCTCATCGAGCTATGATAATTGGGGCCTACCACAGCAGAGCATAGCAGTGCTTTGCAAAGCAAGGCATTTCAATGCCTTCATGCAATACACGGAAGGCACCTATTACTCTAAAAAGAGTAAAAGAGCACTGATTACTCTACACCTCAAAATAACTGCTGCTTCCTTTCTGCATTAATGTTACGAGCCGTTAATGCGGCACCGCCACGATATAACATAACATAAGGCTGGATCTCAGCCTTACTCGAAATGCCAACTTCTGTTGGCATTTTGAGTAACCATGACGACGCAATTAATGAAAAAACGAGCCAAATTCAAATCAAAACAAATTCTGACACTATTTTGTGTCAGTTAGGCTCAAAACAGAGATGGAATTTTCTCTCCCCCTATGTGTCTCTCTCACACATGACAGTTTTCAGAGAGAAATAATTACCATAGCAACAGAACACTGAGGAGGGCAGAGATGTAGAAAACTACAGAGATGGCGGAACGCTCAGTTCCTACAGAGGAAGGCAGAGCTTCCAGTTACAACTTCAGAGATGCCACCTTGGTGGAACACTTATTACAGAAAAGTATATTTGTTTTATAATATATTTACCACCAATGACAAAAGAAAAAATATACATATATTTTCACTTTTCTGGAAAATTCACCAACTGCACCGCTCTTGTTAAGTAGTAAGTAGTGTAAGATAAATAGTATTTCATAAGAGCAGAAGGAATCTTATGTTTTTTGAACAATAACAATATTTGTTGTTAATCTGTTGCTAAGAAATGAACGCGTTTTCTGGTAAGGAAGTGCCAAGAAGTAAACATCTGATTTTTACTTTTGCAAAATTTACTAACTGTAAATTTCTTTTGTCTAAACAGTATTTCAAAAGAGATTATGTTTTATAAACAATTGATTTTTTTATTAAGAGATTGACATTTTAGGGCTGCACAGTGGCGCAGTTGGTAGAGCTGTTGCCGTGCAGCAAGAAGGTTCTGGGTTCGATTCCCAGCCCCGGTCTTTCTGCATGGAGTTTGCATGTTCTCCCTGTGCATGCGTGGGTTTTCTCCGGGTACTCCGGTTTCCTCCCACAGTCCAAAAAACATGACTGTTAGGTTAATTGGTCTGTCTAAATTGCCCCTAGGTGTGTGTGTGTGCCCATGGTTGTGTATCTGTGTTGCCCTGCGACAGACTGGCGACCTGTCCAGGATGTACCCCGCCTCTCGCCCGGAACGTTAGCTGGAGATAGGCACCAGCACCCCTCCCGACCCCACTGAGGGACAAGGGTGTTCAGAAAATGGATGGATTGACATTTTATTTGGTCACGAAGTACAAATCAGATTTTTATATTTGTGTTGAATGTCTGTTTTATAATCTATTTACCACCATTAATAAAAGACCTTCTCACATTAGTATAAGACAAGTATTTAAAAAAAACAGAAAAAAAATCATCTATTTTTTGAACAACAATATTTGTGTCAAGAATGGAGTCTTTAAGGGTGGGGATTAACCAGAATCTGTTTTCATAATCAGTGGATGACAGTGTTGCTTTATGATTTTGTTTAAAGAGTAATGTATACTTACAGATATTGATCTAAAGTGATATTAATAAGGTATTACCCCACCTAGATGTTTCAGAATGAACACAGAATAAACACAGTTCTACAAATGTAGCAATAAGGTATCAGTAAACTGTGGGACTGTGGGAATCTTCCTCCCACAATCCGAAAATGTGCATGCTAGGATAATTAGTTTGTAAGATTTTTCCTCAAGTATAGTGTGTACATATATGGTTGTTCTGTGACAGACTGGAGACCTGTGCAGCGTATGCATGTCTCTTGCCAAATGATGTTGAAGGATGTTAAATTTGCGAACATCTGACTTTTTGCTATTATTCGCTGGCCTTTAAGGAGGTATTTGTCAGATTTATTACTGTTTTAAAAGATGTGGCCGAATGTCAAACCAGCAGCAAAATGAGCACAGCTGTACGATCATTTCAAAGTGGTAACTGAATGTTACATATTGACTTCAACTCAAACTTATTTTTCAGTGAGCCTTATGGGAAAAAGCATCTAACAGAGATCCAACTTTCCAGACACAACTGAGAGGTCAGTGAAAAATGTTAATTGTCATGCCCATTTATTACATTGATGTGAATTTTATTGTTTAAGGGTCATGTTTCCAATCTTTAGGGATGCTGTAGCTGCTCTTCCAATGGATGATGACGCTACACCCCAACATGGACATGGAGATTAATGCAATTCAGTCAAACTTGTTTATACACTGAAAAAAAAAAAGTCTGTAAATTTCTCTGTAAAAAATGGTGAAATACAACATTTTCTGACCGTGAAATCTGAAACATTTTATTACTGTAGAAAATACATGGAATCACCGTCAGTCAACACTGCAAAATAAGTCTGTAAATTTACGGCAAAAAATGGTAAAATAGTTACTGTTGCTGACTTTAATATAAAAAGCACTTAATTACTAAACGCTAAGTTACCTTTGTACATATCTGCTCATTAATCAATATTGTACAGATTGCTTACAAAGCACTATTGTAGACTGTACAGATTATTAATTTTCACTGTTCATACTGTACAGAATCTTACATCTTACATTTTATATTTTATGCATTTATCTTATTTTTTATTTTTATATTGTAATTGATCTGTGTGTATGTGTATGCTGCAACTGCACAGTAATTTCCCGGTTGGGATGAATAAAGTACTTCTATCTGTCTATCTGTCTATCTATCTGTCTGTCTGTCTGTCTGTCTGTAGAAAATACATGGAATTACAATAACTCCATAAACATATATTGCAGTCTATACTTGAATCTGCGGATGGAGCTAAAGAGTACAATGATGGCTCATCATCACAGATACATTTTCAAAATAACAGAGGAAACGCTCAGAAAGATGGTCAGGGGTTATAGCAAGTATTTAATTACTGTAATGCCAATATGCTTATATATTAAATATTTTTCTACAGATTACTTAGAAAGGTATAGAACTGATTTTCAAAAATCAGCTTTTTATTTATTTTTCACTTACATTGTTTTCATTTCTTTTGGAAGATTCATGCCTCATTTCCTATCAGAAACACTTATTAACTGATTAAAAATAACTACATTAGATCTTAGGAGTATGAACAATTTTGGAGGTGTTTAACTCTTTCGTTTTAAAAGTCAGGCCAGCAGGGGGAGTTATTGAGTCGTTTTTTTTCTTCGTGGCGCACTAAGGTAAAAAAAAAAAAAGAGGCAGGAACAGACAGCAGAGTCACACAGGCTGTCTAACTCTACAGCAGCACAGTACAGCGGGTCTGCTGTGGAGGGAAGTACAGCAAACAGTACATCACACTGAACCACATTCATTTATCTGCTGGAGATCCTCTGCTTGAAGAAAAAGAAGAAGGAGGAGGAAGAGGAGGAGGCTCTGTGAGCACCGCAGCAGCCTCCCCGGGAAATATTTCTACAGGATTAACGAGAAGAAGACAATTTCTGCTCGGTTCATCAGGGAAACCCGCTGGAGGTACGATGTCTGTACTTGTTCACCCGCAAAGTTTAGTCTAACTTAGTGGAAACAGCGGCGGCTGGGGGAGACAGTAGGGACCGTGACGTGTCGGATCTCAGGTGCTGCGGCGTCAGGTGAAAACTGCAGGTGTGATTAAAGGGAGCCATCAGATTCTGCCCCGATACAAGGTGTTCTCAACCTAATGTGGACACTGGTCCTCGATGAGGGAAGACGGATTGTTTTCAGCTTTTGGATTGTGGATTAGGTTCCACTAGATGAATTACGATCCATGTTAGTTTTCCCTGTTAATTACTGAAATACGTCTTTTTTTTTTTCTTTTACTGTCAGCTTCTCAGACTTACTTAGAAACAATCGGATGGACAATGACGCAAGCCTTAAATTGTGCAACTTGTGTTTTGTAATGAATTCTTTTAAAATGTGGGATATTTATAGTTTCATTCCAATGAGTTTCAGATTATCAATTTCTCGGGAACTGAATGCAGCCTTCTTTTAAATCCCTTCGTCACACAGTATTTTCTTTTCTTTTTTTTCCCCTTTATGCATCTCTTCCTATTATTACAGCTCTTTACGTTAACGTGATGCATTTCTGTGCTGGTGACTGAATCCTGGGCTCTTCACATTTCCCTCCTAAGCCTCTCTGAGAGTCACCAGGCTGTGACAGATATAAAACAGCCCTGTCTGACCAAAGATACAGCAGGTTATGCTCTTAAGACGGGTTGATTCCTTCCAGTGGCTTGGCTTGTTTTTGTTTCATGTTGTTAACTCAGTTCTTGGTAGCAGTTTGCAGAATTGCTTGCTGTATCCCACCTTTTAATAATAAAAAAAAAAAAGGAAATATAGCAGTTGCAAAGATTTTTTCACGATTATGAAGTGTTACTAGCTTTTGCCGCATCCATCTAAGATGCCTTTATTAATGAACGAGCCCTTAGGCTTTACTGAATTTAAAAGAAATTGAATTGTGGACTTATTTGTGTGATCTGTGTACTTCATGAACTTTTCTTGCATATCTGGACAGTATGATCCATCGTTTTCAGATAGCATTTGCACTGGAAGGATCTACAACCCCTGGCAAAAAGTATGGAATCACCAGTGTTGGATGAGCACTCATTCAGACATTTCATGCTGTAAAACAAA